AATATCAAATTTTTAAAACCAACTATGATTTTAAGCTTTAAAATATCTCTTAAATTATTTGCATTTTTAAAACCTACAGATACAGATTTATAGTACACTTAGCAAACATAAGCTACACAAATACTTCGCATTTAACAAGCAAATAAATGTAAATAAAGTTAAATGAAGAAAATGCATCTTTGGGACGAAAACACACAACCTTAACTTATATTGTTAAATTTGTTTTAACTTTTTTTTTCTTAATACATTTAGAACTTCAATTACCTTATCAAAACTCAAAGGCACCCACACAATTGTACAAAATGAACATATTATAAGCAAATAAATTAAATTATATATCCTTAATCCTAATCTAAATACTTTTACTTAATATGCATAAAACAGCAATGTTACTTACCCAAGTCATGACACAGTCGGGAAAAAACTGGCATCGTATGACTTGAGGCAGCTCGAAGACGAAGCAGAAGTTGGAACGGACCAACTTGGAGCCACCTAACGTTAAAGGGGTCATATTATGCTTTTTTAAAGATCCTTATTTTGCATCATTTTGGGTTCCCCAAATAATCTGAAGAACCCTTTTTTCACTATAAAGAACCTTTTGTGCAATGGAATTTGAAAGGTTCTATATGTAGCATAGATGCCAATAAAGTACCTTTATTTTTAATAATGATCTTATTGATTATCTTTCTAAAAAGATATGCCAACATAAATAAATACTATTTTGAAATAGCGACATTTTTGGATTGTGTAAATGGTGCATTATATCATGGGATTGTACACTATATTTTGGACAAAAGCTTGTGGACAAGAAAAATGAGATGAAAGTGTTGTAAGCACCAGTTTAGCAAGAGATGTAGTAAAATAATGTCATTTTCATTTTCACTTTGTGCACAGTAAGGGGTTTTCCAAGCTGTTGTCCAGGTACAGTCATCTAGAACAGGGGTTTTCAGGGGAACGCAACGGGGGTAATAAGGGATCCGTGTAAATTTTAGAGAAAAACAAATAAATAAATAATAAAAAATATTTAAATAAATAAATGAATACTGAAATAAATAAATAAATAATAATAGAAGATTAAAATAAATAAATAATTAAATTTAAAAATAAATACAAATATATTAAAATAAATAATAAAAATGATTAAAGTAAACAAGTATGAAAGTATTTGGATTGGATATATTATATATGATTGCTATATACATTATATGTGACCCTGGACCACAAAACCAGTCTTAAGGGTCAGTTTTTTTTATTCAGATTTAAGATTTATTAATAAATACGCTTTCCATTAATGTATGTTTTTTTTTTAGGATAAGACAATATTTGGCCAAGATATAACTATTTGAAAATCTGGAATCTGAGAGTGCAAAAAAATCAAATATTAAGAATATCGCCTTTAAAGTTGTCCAAATGAAGTCTTTAGCAATGCATATTACTAATCAAAAATTAAGTTTTAATATATTCCCAGTAGGTCATTTACAAAATATCTTCATGGAACATGATCTTTATTTAATATCCTAATGATTTTTGGCATAAAAGAAAAATCGATAATTTTGACCCATACAATGTATTTTTGGCTATTGCTGCAAATATACCTGTGCGACTTATGACTGGTTTTGTGGTCCAGGTACACATATATGAAAATATATAGCTGATATTTTAGCTGCCTTTTAAATTTTAGGATGGGAGTCCTAAGAATGATCCTATTTGGGGGTCTGTGCATGGCATCTAAAAGATTGAAAACCCCCGTCATTGTGTGCCTTATGATTAGGATTTGTTGAACTACTGGAATAACCAAGCATGTTAATTAAAAGGAGTTTTCTGCAAGCTTTTGGCAATGTAGTGTGTTCGTGAACAGAAGTGAATAAACAGATGTCCTCACCCCTGTGGTTGTGGATTAATCTCCATTAGAGTGATCTCCGTTTGCCATGGCCTGTGAGTGAAACAAAATATGAGTTATCCAAACCATAATATCAATCAAATAATTATCCTCTTGATGGTACTTACCATTCATCCATTGGAGCCTGCACATTATCCTGGGATGGGGTGGGGTTTAGCGGCAGTGGAGCTTGGGCAGGTGGCGGGAGGACTTGGATAAGACCACTTGGGGCAACAGTAATGGGTGCAGGTTGTGGGGCAGCAATTAGATTTGCAAGTGGAGCTCTGATGCGAGGCATAGGAACGGGCCGTGCAGAGGAAATTAAAGGGGAAGGGGCTTGATTCTGTGGGGTGGGTGGCACTGCAGCCTGATTGGGTGGACTGGCTTGAGCAGCAGTGTCTGCCTGTTGTCCCAGTGAATCTCGAAGTTGGCCGAAGAGGCTGTTGGTTTAAAAGAAATTATGAATTCTTTAGCATTTGACAGAAAATACACTAAATAATGAAACTGGCCTGGGACTTACGTATGTATGTTTGCACCAACAGGTCTTCTTGAATTAAAATCCCCTGGCAGGATTGGGTGCACATGCCTCCTCCTACCAGGAGGCTGAAACAAAAAATATACATAAGCATGCGATGCTTGATGACCTCCACTCACAGAGACTGATATTTATTACTCACTTAACTAGGTTTTTACTTACTATGAATGGATTATTTGCATAATCACGGTTGCCTACTGAGCTTCTGCAGTGTGGACAATGAGCCCTGTATCGAAAAGACTGACTGAGGCATCGCTGGCAAATTCTGAAAGTACAAAGAGAGACAAATGTACTTGTGAGAGAGCATAAAATAATCAACTCCTATCAACATGAAGATAAAAGATTGGCTGGCAAGGCTGGTAATCGTTGTCAACCAACCATGTGATGGAATTTCCCTTTAGAAATACTTTCGCTTTTTGCTGCCAGCAAATGCTCAGGTTATTTATCAGAAATGATATGTACTTGTGAATAAGGAGAGGCTGCGAATGTATAGCACATGGAAAAAACAAACAAATAAAATAAATGTCCAACATAAAAGCTGTTTCCAACTACAAAAGCACTTTTTGGAGAAAATTTGATTTATTGAATGAGTTTGATTTACAATCACTTATCAAATATATTTTACAACTACACATTTTTATACAAGGCAGTACTGTATAATATTGTAAACTATGCATTAGCATATGTTAAATTATGTTAAATGCCTACAAGTTTGATCCACAAGTTTGTCAGTTTGTAAAGTCTCCACATGAAGTCACCAAAATCCCCATCTATGCCAAATATAAGCCACACTTACACTTTTCCACAGCATGAAGATGGTTGAGAAGGATTCTGTATGTTTTCCCTGCATACAGGACACTCTTCCTCTGAAGTGGACATGTCCAAATCGTCTGCTGTTTAGTCTGTCTGTCAGTCTACTGGCAGTCTAGTCTCTTCTGATATCTTCACTTAGGTTGTACAGCTTAAATGCAGCCCAACTTCCTTATTGTCATAAAGAGGGTGTGTATTATGTTTGCTTCAGGTGCTTTCTTTTCATGATGATAAATATAGAACCGGTTTAACCTGAAAAGTACTAATTTTGTAAACAAATATTTAGTGATGCGACTCGGGGACTTTAATATAGACAGAGCTGTAACTTTTGGTTTCACCTACGTTCTATCTATCTATCTATCTATCTATCTATCTATCTATCTATCTATCTATCTATCTATCTATCTATCTATCTATCTATCTATCTATCTATCTATCTATCCATCCATCCATCCATCCATCCATCCATCTAAACTGCAAAATCGTCAGTGTTAATATCCATTATATCAAATGTAACATCATTGTTACATGTTAAGGGTCATTTGTATGTTATACGTGTTCACACTACCCAGTGGTATTAATGTTACACTTTTTAAACCTTTTGACACCAATTTTGTTTTGATTCAACACTCTATACAGTATATCTGTCTGTCAGCATGTCTCTTTGTCTATTTTTCAGTACCGAAAGTATAAAGGTTATTTAGGGACACCAGGGCTTTTATTATGGCAGACACAGATGCTTTTATGTCATTGCGGAAGTAAAGTCACCTGACCGCCGCTAAGCTTCTTGGGCAAAATCGATCAGCAGGCAGCAGTAGATTTCAACATGTCTGCCGTCGGCTGTCAGTAAAGGAGGTGTTTGTTTTCAACTCAGCAGCGGATCCGTGAGCTCGGTGAAGAACAAACGAGGTGCTCTCATGGCTCAGTGCGTGCAGTCAGTGCAGGAGTACATCCAGGACTCGTTCGTGCCGATGGTGGCTGTCCTGTGCAGCGAGGATGCGGAGAGAGTGACCCGCAAAAACAGCCTGAGCTTCCCCGAGCTGCTGCGGCCTTTCTGCCGCCTGACGTCCGAGGGTAAGAGGCCATCTGGTCAGACAACCGCGGATCACCCACCACAACTGATGATCACTAGATAAGACGGTTGTTAGACAGCTCCCTTACACATACACACTGGCTGCGTCTGAAAACCTAGTGAACTGTCTGCCAAGACATTGCCCAAAACAGTCCAGGTGCCATTACAACGGTCAGACGGGAAAAATACAGTCTAGCTAGGCAGTTTAATATAGGTTTTGAGAGACATGCCCAAAAATGCTCTCTCGCAAGGCAGCTTATTAGGATTTGAGACACACTGAAAATGATGTCTAAGTAGGCTCTAGGCAGCTCACTAGATTTTTAGTTACACGCCCAAAGGTGCTGTCTCTAAATAGGCAGCTCACCAAGTTTTGAGAGATGTGCCCAAAAGATCTGTCTAGGTTGACAGCTAACTAGCTTTTTGAGAAACATGTCCAAAAATGTTTCAATAAACAGCTCACTGGATTTTTTCGTCATGCACCTTAAAATGCTGTCTAAATATGCAGGTTACTAAGTTGTGAGAAACATGCCCAAAAATGCTAGTCTAGGTTGGCAGCTCATTAGATTTTTAGGCACTATTCTTTGTCCAGTGAGGCCCTTGGGCAGATGTCTTTGTAGACTGTAGTGTAGACCTCGTTTGACCGTCATGTTTGGTTTGCTAATAGTTTTCTGCACTCTTTTTTTGAACGGCATCCTGGGGGTCCCGGGACCTTAGAGGTCAGCAGATTCTCTATGCGCTGGGGGCCCTAGTGGTTATCTTGTGCCATCTGTGCCAAGGAGCCCGGGCTCTAATGGTCAGCAATTTCTCTGAGTCTTAAGGAACTCGCTAAGTTTTGAGAGACGTGCCCAAAAAAATCTGTCAAGGTTGACAGCTAACTAGGTTTTGAGAAACACACCCCAAAATGATGCCTATCTAGGCAGCTAACTAGCTTTTGAGAAACACATGTCCAAAAAATGATTAGATAAACAGCAACCTGGATTTTTAGTCATGCACCTTAAAATGCTAGTCTAGGTTGGCTGCTCATTAGATTTTTAGGCTCTATTCTTTGTCTAGTGAGGCCCCTGGGCAGACGTCTTTGTAGACTGTAGTGTAGACCTCTTCTTTTTTTTTTTCTCAAGTTTTTGCACTGCATCCCGGGGGCTTTAGAGGTCAGCCCAGGGCTCTAATGGTCAGCAAATTCTCTTTGTGTTAAGAAACATAGGGTCTTCTGCACAGAGGGGCCGGGGGCTCCATCTGATTCTTTGCGATTTATGCACTAGGGGTACTTCCTCAGTAAGTTTTGGTACCACAAATCTTTGGAGACCTTTCATAGTGTAAGGCCTTCTGGCCCGTTCTGTAATCCAGCTCTGATCCTCAGTCAAATGATAGGAAGGGTTTCAAACCGGATTCATCTGAATTTGATCTCTCTGTTTGTGAAATCTGATCTGATTTCCGATCACCTGACCATTTAGTGTCAAGAGCCTTAGACAGACACAGCACAGATCAGATGCCTCTATTGGTGAGGGTTAGATTACCTCTGGACTGGCTGGAGAGGTCTGTGTTTGGCCTGTGCTGTTAATCACCAGCCTATATCTAGTAAAGGATATGGGATAATCCTAAAGAGGCAAGCAATCACACCGTAGTAAGTGAACAACCAAGATACACAATCGATCAAAAGTTTGGGGTTTTATAACATTTTTTTTAAATATATTTTTTAAAGATTTATTTTTGGCTTTTTTAGCCTTTGTTAAGACAGGACAGTATGTTGACAGGAAGTGAATAGGGAGAGAGAGAGGGAGATGGGATCAGGAAATGTCCGCAAGCCGGGACTCGAACCCAGGACACCTGAATCGCATATGTTGGCGCATTGCCCACGAGGCTATTGGCGCTGACTATTAATAGTTTTCTTTATTTTATTAAATTTTTTATTTTATTTAATTTTATTAATTAATATTTTCGAAGCCTCTAATGCTCATCAGGGCTGCATTTGTTTGATCAAAATTACAGTAAAAACAGTAATATTGTGAATTTAAAGTTACTGTTTTCTATTTGAATATATTTCAAAGTGTACTTCATTCCTGTTATGTCAAAGCTGAATTTTCAGCAGTCATTACTCCACTCTTCAATGTCACATGATCCTTCAGAAATGATTCTAATATGCTGATTTGGCACCTAACATTTCTTATTATTATCAATGTTGAAAACAGTTGCTATATATATTTGTGGAAACTCTTCCACTTTTTTACTGTCACTTTTGATCAATTTAATGCATCTTTGCTGAAAGTATTAATTCATTAACTTTAACTTTAACTTGAACATTTGACAACAGATGCCATTTTAATTGGTTCATTAAAAATGTCATTCACTCTTACAAGAAGAAATATTCCTATTAGCCCAGGGCTTAGAGAAAAAGGTATTTTTGTGTTCTTTGGCCTCCTTTCCAAATGTTAACCATTGAGGAAAAAAATTAACCGAATCACTTTCTTGCATCAGAATCTGTCCCGGTCACCACAGTCAAGACTGAACACATGTAGCTCATCTGTAGAACGTGGCGCTTGCAACGCCAAGGTCAAGGGTTTGATTCCCTGGGAAAGAAAGAAGTGATAAAATGTGTGCTTTGAATGCAATGTCATTTTGGATAAATGTAAATGTAATGAACTCTTTTCTTCATAAGAGCATGTGCTATAAAAGGATTTGCAAATAGGAAGTGATGTAATTCTGACAGTTTAATGTGGACAACAATTGTTGGTTTTACAAAAAATGATTTGAACAAAATAACATTATTAACCAATTATAACATTTAAAAAGCTAATCATGTTCCATTTTCCTCCGGAACAACTAGAATGGGTATTTCCTATTTCATTTGTTTTCAGGTTTTGTTCCTACTGCTTTTAATTCCTGTCTGAGCTACATCATCACATTCATTGACTGAAATCTTAGAATCGCTCCATTTATCAACAATATTGGTCTTTCAGGATTCATGCAATTGTGGGAAAACATGGCACATTTTGTGTAGCACAATAGGCACAGACTTCTCATATCAGTCATAGACTACACTAATACACTTAATCTCGTCAGAGAACTCTTTCAGATACTAAGAAAACCCCATTTCTCACATTGCGTTTGTTGCAGTGTGTTATGGATTCGTAGAAAAGCTGGTAACACAGTTAGGTTGACCCAAATGAACACAGTGCTCTCTTTATGTGTGTGTGTGTGCGTGTGTGTCCCTCAGTGATGTGATTGGATTTATTCAGGAATGCCTTGGCAGCAGAGGAGCAAAGTCGCATCTTTATTCTTTATGTTGTGATTATCATGTGAATAGTGGAGTGAAAACACACAGGTGCATTATGGGAGAATGTTCGGTAGAGGGGTGGCAACATATTTGAGCTGGGTGTTCCTGTCATGCATTTTGCAAGGGAAGAGTGGGTGAAGATGGATCAGGTGGGCTCCAGAGGTGGTCAGCTGTCATAAGACTAGTGGAAACCCAGCTGTGTTTGGCTAATTTAGTCAACCATGACAGATTTTCAAGTTGGCGTTCATAATAGATTGTAAATAATTTATTAAAAGTCTTTGCATTGTGCTGATCTCATTAAATATACATTTTTTAAATCCTCTAAAGAAAAGAAAAGTACCTTTTCAGAATTGTACTCTAACAAATATTAGCGATATTAATAGTCAAAACCGTATATTACATCCCAATTATAAAATCCCAAAGATTAAGAATTTTAATATTGATTTATTAAAAGTAAATAATAAAAAAAATTCTGACAATGCCCATAAGAATTAACAAGTGACGGTGGGGACACCCAGTTCAAATATTTATTACTTTTGTTCGGCAAGGATGCATTAAATTAATAAAAAGTGACTAAAGATGTTTGTTACATAAGATTTCTATTTCAAATCACTGCTGTTCTTTTTAACGTTATATTCATATAAGAAAATGCAGAATGGTCTCCACAAAAATATTAAGCAGTACAGCTGTTTTCAGTTTTGATAGTAATAATAAAAAAAGTTATAAAAACTGGTATTCTTAAGCAGCAAATCAGCGTATTAGAATGATTTCTGAAGGATCATGTGACACTTAAGACTGGAATAATGATGCTGAAAATTCAGCTTTGCATCACAGGAATAAATTGCATTTTACAATATATTAATAGAAAACTTAAAATAGAAAATGGGTACTTGAAATTGTAATATTTCAAAATATTACAGTTTTTACAGTATTTCTTTATCAAATAAATGCAGCCTTGATGAGCATAAGAGACCATCCAAAAAATTTTTATAATATGTGGTCCAGATTGAACCAGCCTTGGGTTCTAGACTGTGTAAAGCTCCTTGCACACCAAGAACAAAAACTATAAATAAAACTATAAAGATGTAGTTCTAAAAATCATTCTCAATATTAAAGAATTGCAGAGTCCAAACCACAGCTATAACGATAAAGGCACAGAGAAACATGTAGTTGGAATCACTTTCAGAATGATTTTTTTTCCAGCTGATGAAGGATACAGACATTGACACCCAATCAGAATCAATCCTGCTATCACGAGCTCGAGAATTTAAAGCGGCAGATGAGTGTGCACTTAGAATAAACTGACGATATCGTCTGCTGGTGTGGACGCTAATATAGTTATCTTTATAGATATCGTTATAGATTAGGGATGTAACGGCATGAAAATTTCTTATCACGATTATAGTGACCAAAATTATCACGGTTATCAGTATTATCACGGTATTGTTAAAATGTGCTGGAGATGTTAAAAAAGTACCAAAAAACAACAACAAATAAAAGGACTTTTTGTTTTCATAATCACTAAAACAATAACATTACCAATGATGTTCGGATTTTAAATGACAACTTGACTGACAACAGTTTAATAGCATGTTGACATATCTAATGTAAATGTTCAAATAAAGCTTTGAAAAAGTTTAATAAAAAGCTAAACCTCAAATTTCAGCCTTTAAATAAAGAAAAAGATATAAGTAATGTTCGGATTTTAAATGACAACTTGACTGACAACAGTTTAATAGTTAATAGAACAGTAAATGTTCAAATAAAGCTTTGAAAAAGTTTAATAAAAAGCTAAACCTCAAATTTCAGCCTTTAAATAAAGAAAAAGATATAAGTAAAAATGATAACTGATTAATAAATGATTATATGTATTTTATCTGCTCCATAAATAATTCCTAGATAACTTATCTGAATGTGTAGAATCCACATAAGCTTGTTTTTCATCAACCGGTCAAAATTCACAGTGGGGCATGCAAATTCTGTCCTTTTTTGGCCAGACAGAAACTGCACACAGACTAAATGTAAATATACGTCTCTGTAAATCCACTCGCTGACAGCAGGTGGCGATTGTGGAAAAGCTGAATTAGAGCTGTTTCCCGTAACCTCTGTGGACAAAGCAGTATTGCGATTTAAAAACACTTCCTTTAGGTATTACATGGCGCGAAGATGAAAATAAAATGCCATCGAATCGTTTCTGAAGACAGTCAGAACCTTCAGAGATACATTCATATAATTAATCCATTCATATATTAATTTGTATAATTCCCTTAGCACTCTTTTAAAACCTCCCAGCTTTTCCGCCCTGTTTTCACTCAAAACGAAATTTCTCTGTGTGCTGTGCGCACCTGAGACTGTTACTTAAAACTGTGCTTTATGCTGGACAGTATTTATTTATTGCGAGTTGTTCAAATCGCGGTAATCTAATACGGTAGTTAATGATAATTAAAAGATGAAACAGTAATACTAACCGTGCGGAATTTTATCATGATTTATCGTCAAACCGGTAATCGTTACATCCCTATTATAGATATTGCTTAGGTAATTGCATATGTTTCATGTTTACATTGTGCACTCCCCACCAGGTACAATATTCTGATTGTTTGCATATTGTTTTTAAGCCCATAAATAATAATGTACTCATTCTAATATGTTTAAAAAATAATTTACATTGCTGGTAGGTTATCATTGCACAAATTAACACACTCTCTACAATAAAAAAAATAAAATTAGAAGAGTTCTGAACTAACGCGCTGTCTTCACTGTATCTAACGCACACACTCTCAAGGCTGATTTATGGCTGATTTATACTTTGAGTGCGCACGACGTCGTTTAGCGTGGCGGTGTGCACAACATTTTTTGTAACTTTCCGCGCAGCTCTGCTTCCGAAGATGCACGAGTTCAAAGCGACTCTAGCCGAACATGCACGTCTGTGCCAGCATTTGTGTGAAACAGAAGCAGTTTGATGTTAAGTTCAGTCACACACACAGATCACGTTGCGGCTGAACTCAGACATTCAGGAACAAACTTTTTAGCGCTGCCCTGCAATTTTATCAACTAAATAGCTTAATCGCTCAAGAGCTACATTATCTTTCTCAACAAGGAGCTGGTAGCATCATTGTTTCTAAAGGAATTAAAGCCATAGCTTTACTGTTAATAGAGAAACGCGGCAGAACGGTGGTAATGCATACGTACACAGCCTCTCTTTCTCTCTCTGTCATAAATGAACAGTTGATGAATCACACTTTTCTGAGAATAGACTTGAAATGGAGATAGCTAAACTGCAAGCTAAGCTGTGTTTTCAGAAAGCAAGAGCGTTTATCCACAGTGGAGAGAGAGCGCGTGAGCACAGGGTTGCCAGGTTGACAAAGATAAGTAGCACGTTTAGCAGATATTTCTGTATTGCGCAAGTGTAAAGCTCTGTTTTGGGGATTACGTCTCTTTATATCAGGCAACCCCATTGTGTTCCTCTGCGGCCAGATTATTAACAGATGCTCTATTCATTCTTTTTTTAGAAACCTCGCAATTTTCTACTAAAAAATATTAAATATTAAAATTAAGCGCTGTCCACTGCTGCACACGTGCCACAGTATCGATACAGGGCCAACTGTATCGATACTCGTATCGTCAAATCGCTGTGACGATACATCGTCGTATCGATATTTTGAACACTGCACTAATAGATATCGTTCTTGGTGTGAAGTTGTGAACTGGCCCTTAAGTCTAGAACCTAGAACCTAGAAAAAAAGCTTCAGAAGAATAAGCAGCACCATTATTAATTTGACACCAGCCAGTTCATCTTCTTTTTTTGCTCCTGTTACCGTACTGTAGGTCACCTGCGTGACCCCAATAACCAGGTGGTTGTGGTGAAGGGCCTCCGGATCAGTGTGACTGGGATCAACACAAGGCCTCCACAGACCCCAGAGATGCAGAGACTCCTCAGCCAGGCGGTCTCTGTCTGCCAGCCTCCTGAAGTGTCGCCCGCCAATGTCATCACGGCTGGAGACTACGACCTCAACATCAGCGGTAAGTGCTTGCAAAGAGTTTTCTGTTCACTTTAACTTCACCAGGGGAAATCTGTAGAGGACCTGATTATATTACTGCCACATTTTGAAAGTAGGAAAGTGGAAATGGCCTGAAGTGAACAAAAACGGGAACTGAGAGATTGTTTCCTAATGCAGCATACGTTTACGCAGCCCTTGCAGAATCTCCAAAATGTTGATCAGTTTTACATGTATGGGTGGGCAATATAAGCAGTCACAGTTTTCTTCATTATGGTAGCAATATATGTCACAATATACAGTGATATGATGCACAGAAAAATAATAATTCTAATTTCCAAAGTAATGGCAGACCTTTAGAAAATGGGATAAATTTGGATTTTATACTATTCATAAAAATGTTATAGTATTTAAGGTCATGTAGTATTTAAGGTCTGCAGTTAAACAGCTGTATAAATAAATAAATACTTGTGTTTTATCCTTTTTTTAATGCAAAACACTATTTTATCTATATTAAAATAAGATATAATAATTATAGTTTCTGTTAGGGGTGTGTAAACATTTTAGAAAAGGAATAAGAAAATTACAACAACAAAAAAAAAAACAGAAAAATGGTTTGATCTCTAAAAAAAGACTAATAATTATAGATTCTGCAGGGGGTGTGTAAACATTTTAGAAAAGCAATATGAAAATAATAAAAAAAAAAATGTTGTGTAGCTTCTTCTGGACAGAAAAATGTTTTGATCTCACTAAAAGAAAGAATAATTATATGTCAGAAAAAAAAAAGATAATTATAGGTGCAGGGGGCTTGTAAACAAGTTTTTAATACATTATTAATATATATTTTTTATTTGAATGAGACTCATTTCATAGTAGTTTCTCATGTCAGCACCTGATGAGGGCAGCAAAGCCCTTGAGGGGAAAAGTGAGAATTAAATGTTGTAATTGTCCATGAAATTAAAGGGTTTGGTTTGCATTACACATTTGTTTTATCGTTTCTGATCTTTTTTTTTTCTTTTTTCTATTTTTCTAACCCCCCCCCTTTCTCCAACTTCTCCTGTGGATGAATTCTTGGTAAGAGCTCTGACCCTCATACACATGTTTTCCTCTGGTGTGTGTATGCCAGGTCACACACGTGTGCTATGCTGTGCTGTTAAGTGAAGTGTTTGGTCCCTTCTCAGATCCTAGGCTCCCAGTAGAGCCCGTCCCCCACGTGGTCCCTTTGCTGCACCCTTCACTTGGGGGGGCCTAACAACAAACCCCTGAGATTTAGATACTAACACACCTCTCTACACCAGCAGCATCCTCCTTTTAACTGAATGAACATATTGCACCTGAATATGAGAACAGAGTCAAGATGCAACAAACAGCAGCGTTAGCATACTTGAATATGTGAACTTCACGGTTGGTTGGTTTGACTACAAAGCTAAGGTCTCAAAACTCTATGCTCAAAATTCAACATGAAATCAAAACTGTTCCTACATACTTAAATGCATAATATGTTCCTGTTCTTATTGTGTCAGTTATTTTAGTATTATATGTACTGTTATAATATGTTATTTGTATTATGAATGAATAAATTAGCTATAGTAATATTAATTATAATATTTAATTTTATATTTTGAGTAAGCTTTGTTATTATTATTATTATTATAGCTTTTTATTTTTACTTTTCATTTTAATTTTAGTTTGTTTTAGTAACTTTTCAAATTCAGTTTTACTAATGTTACTTCAGTTTAAATGTATTTAAGTTAGTAGCCAAGACAAAATTTTTAATTTTTCAAGTTTAAGATTATATTTTTCCATGTCATTTTTATATTTTATTTTACATCAACATTGTTTCAAGTAATATACAAATGCTATTTTAATAAACTTTTAATTCGTTTTTAATGAACAAAATCAACACTGTATTGCACATTATTTATCTGTGCACATCATTCCAAATGTTAATAAAAATAACATCTTCCAGCTCTGAAACAACTTTTATTTTTAGGTGATGTCATCTAGGACCGGTGGGCGGGTAAATTAAGGTTAACCAATAGCCAAGTAGCTAGGCTTTGCTTTAGGCTTGGTAAAGCATCCTCTCCAAAAATTTTCAGATTTACATGCAGAATAAAGTCATGGAATGGGGGAAGTTACCTTTTCAAAAGATGCTTTTGAAAGTGAACTTGACCTTTAGCCTTCATATCTAAGCTATTATTCCAGTTCCCAGCAGGTAGAGGCTTAAATAAAGCCTGATTCCTTAAACAAAATTATCATCCCATCCACGATCTGCAAACTCACTTTCAGGGCTCTGGTTGCTTTTCACAATCCAATACATTCTGAATGAAACAAAAAGGACGTTGCACTCTAATTTTATCATACAGCGTTCTGTTTCCCTCAGAAGTGTGTCACTTTATGGAAGGAGGAGGGGTTGTGAATGGTCTTTCATGTTGATTTTAAAGCATTGGTTTGCTGTGTGTGTGTGTGTGTGTGTGCTGTACTCACTCTGACCAATAGATTTCTCTAGAAACATCCAACTCCAATTTTGGGTTGTGAATGGTCTTTCATGTTGATTTTAAAGCATTGGTTTGCTGTGTGTGTGTGTGCTGTACTCACTCTGACCAATAGATTTCTCTAGAAACATCCAACTCCAATTTTTTTTTTTTAATGTTTTTTCTGCTTCTGCTAGAACTGGTACCAGTAGTTTGTGTTTTATGTATGTTTCAAGGGCGAAGTATGTTACATGTTGTTCATTATATGTAATTTTTCAGTCTACTTCATTATCCTACATTTAGTAGATTGCCTTTTCACAAAGCGGGAGATGCCGACTGAACGTGCCCATGTCTAAGCTAATCAGGAAAATGTGATTTTAGAACAATGCTCATCTGCTTTCTGGGTCTGCAGTGCAAACTCAATTTAGCACATTGTCGAAGTTCAGTTCTGTTAAAGTTCCCCTGTAGTCAAAAATTTTATCCTTTAAAACTAATCTTCGATCATCTAAAATACATTTTTAAAATATTTATTTTTTCTTGTGAAATTTTTTTTCTCATGCCTTAAAATACCTTAATACACCCTTGCCTCATTTACTATATGCAGATCTATGAATATGCAAATTAGCCTCCACTCCGTCACACCAGCCAGGGGTAGTTCACAGAGAATAAAATTCAAAGAAATAGTTCACCCAAAGATTAAATTTAGCTGAAAATCTACTCTTAGGCCGACCAAGATGTAGATGAGTTTGTTTCTTCATCTGAACTGATTTTGATAAATGTATCATTACATCACTCGCTCACCAATGGATCCTCTGCAGTGAATGGGTGCCGTCAGAATGAGAGTCCAAACAGCTGATAAAAACACCACAATAATCCACATGACTCTGGTCCGTCAGTTAACATCTTGTGAATTGAAAAGCTGCTTGTTTGTAATAAACAAATCATTAGGATTTTTAAAACTTCAAACCGTTGCTTACGTTTTGTCTGAATAAGGAGAGAAATATGCACGGATTAAGGAGTATTTCCAACCAAGAAGCATCCAGAACAGTTTTAAACCAATACGTCTGTGGGTTTTGATGTGAGGGAACAACAAAGGATGGACTTTTTCACTGGAGGAAGTGTTATAATGGATTACAGACTTCTATTTTGGCCAGAAGTGACGGTTTAAAATTAAAACGACTTTAAGATAGTTTTGTTTATTACAAACACACAGCTTTTCGCTTCACAATACGTTTATTGATGGACTGGAGTCATGTGGATTAATTTGGTGGATTATTATGATGTTTTTATCAGCTGTTTGGACTCTCATTCTGACGGCACCCATTCACTACAGAGGATCCATTGGTGAGCAAATGATGTTAAATTTCTCCAAATCTATTCTGATGAAGAAACAAACTCATCTACATCGTGGATGGCCTGAGGGTGAGTACAATTTAAGCAAGTTTTCATTCTTGCGTGTACTCTTCCTTGGACTTAATTTACACTCTTATAAAATCGATCTTAGGATGCATTTAGCTCCTGGTAAGATTGTAGAAAAGCATTGCAAATATCAGTATCTAAAATAAACTGACCATTTTTTGCAAACACAAAGAGCAATTAGTCTTGACATTTTGTCTGTGCAGATCACAGGTGCATCTGCAGGGTTTGGGGTGGGTTGTGTTTTGGATGCCTTACGCTTCTGTGGTTCCTCTCCGTGAGCTTTAACCAGACTGCCTGTCTCTTCTCCTCTCAGACCGCACGGTCAAAGCGAGCGTTCCCTGGTACTCTGACTGGAAAGAAACACTCACCCAGCTGAGCTCGTCCAAGTACTACACAGGTATTGCCTTCCTTCCCCTGCTGGGAGTGTGCGAGAGGGCTTTCCTCGGTCGCCTTCTCCACGTCATTTCCCGGCCCGGCTCGCTCTGTAGCAGAACTGTCGCTAAATCTTCTTTCCTCTTTCCAATCCAGCTTCCTCCACTTTCTGATGATGTTGGTGGTGGTTCTTTAGCTTTGTGTGTGTTTGAGACTCATTGGGCTGAAACTCTCAGTGGTAGACGTGTTCATAGCTTTGTCAAATAATGGATTGGCGATCTCTTCAGTTACTGTACATCCAAATAGTTAAGTGTAATTTTTTTTTGTTTCAGAAATGTGCGGGTTCAGTTTGAGATTTTAGTTCAATGAGTCATTTTACCCATTCAGTCAGAATGTGTCTCACTTTATAGCCTAGTTTATTTTCCTCTTTAGAGCCATCATTCCTTTTGCTGTGAAGTAGAGATTGACTTTACATGCGCTTTTTCTGAATTCAAGCAGAATACATTTTAACGTAGTTCTTCAGTTTGAGTTAATGTGAAATATTGGTTTCTTTCTGTTAAATTTACAGTTAAAAGCAACTGTGGTAGCCAGAAATTCAGAAAATACTGTAACAATGTTTCTAGTATTATGGCTGGCATATTTGTGCCTGTACGAGACCAATACTCATATATACGTAGACATGCACAGGGTCATAAACACAAATAATGCAATAAACATGAACTAAATTACATAAAATATAACACAAAACACCCTGATGTATGTTACTGATGACAATAAAAATAAGCTAAATTATTTAAATAAAATATATTCATATATTTTTGTCATTCAGTGACTCCTGGTAATGTCCTTTTACTGTTTTTAACATGAAGTTTATGGTAATTCAAAGTTTTTACCTCCAAAAAACATAAATATGACTGTATGTGACATAATGCAGAGTTAAACCAATTTAAACCACATTTTTTCACTGTATTTGGCAAGATATCTATCAGTCAAACGATTAATAGGTTTTTCTGTAGCATACAATATAAAAAAAATTTAAACACTGCATTGGTACACTAATGCTCTGTTGAGTAAAACATTTGGTGATTATTTAAATGTTTGGATTTGTTTCTTTACTTTTTTGTTCACTATGTATTTATTTAGGATGTGCAAACCACTTTTTCAAAAATGTTTGGTTAAGTTTTGGTTTTATGTTTGGTTTTGAGATATCAATCAGACACATTTTTTTAGAGATATACTTAATCACTTCATATTATGAATTATAGAGGTTACTTCAAATGAATAATTGTAATTATGATTAAAAATGATTAGCAGCTTTAACAGGATTACTGCAGGGGGTATGCTAATTACAATGTTCATTATCCAAAAATAGTGTTAACGGGTAAAGTTCAGCTAAATATTTCATTGTCCCTCCTACATAAATAAAATATTAAGTACAGTGTACAAGTTTTATGAACTGATGTTTGTTTTAAATAATAAAATAATCTTTGCAATATAAGTATCTGAACGAAGTCTGTATAAAACATTAATATGGTACAAATGTCGTCATAGGATAGACTTTGGACCTTTTTAGGACCTTGGACAAAAAATAAAAGTTATGCTTTAAAGCACAAATAAAAGTTAAAGAAAAAGTATATAAATTAGCCTATTTCTTCTCACTAGAATGTTGCAATTGTAATCATCAGAGCTACTGCAGACAAGTGGTGTGCTTCATTGATTTTAATGAAAGTGATATGGTTTGATGTTTTGTAGTGTAGTGTACAAGCTCTACCCTCTCTGAAGTGCATACTGTGTGCTTATTGTCATGAATGATTCTGAGGGCGCCATTGATTTAGACAAAATGTCAAGGAACTCAGCTAATGAAGCTGGAGCATAAAAATCAGTGCATCCTCATCTTCCCCTCATTGCTAGATAGAATTAAAAGGGGAAAATTGATCATGAATACTAATGTTTCAACCTGTTTTGGACATCCTGTTTCTCTTTTAAAAAAAAAAGGGTTGAATGCAGATTAGGTCATTAAGTGTTCAAAGTGATTTAAGGTGCGAATTTCTGTGGGACAAATCTAGTAATTTCAATAAGAATCCACACAGGAATTTCGCCGAAAGATTTTGCAACCAGTTCAAGTTGCTTCGTAAACCCAACAGGAAGCATGCATCTCTACATTGTTAGCAATAGACTTTTTTGCCCACAATATTTCGCTCATGTGACTTTGATCTTTATGCTTCATATTTGCAGGATAAGAAATAGCTTTTATTTTTTGAAGAACTGTAGTAACATCTAAATAAACGATTGGGAAAGTATTAGATTGTTGGATTTAAACATTCTTGAATTATCTTTCAGTTTTATTGCTGTAAAATAGTCTTGCTGTAAAAATGTGATCTGTTATCATTTCTTGGGGGGGGTTTCTATTCGTCTTGGCTTTCATAATGTGCTTCTCTCCTCTTCCGCCTGGAGGGCTGGTCACACGGCCTGTAATAATCTTGTTTCTGAACAAGACAATATTTCTTTGTGTTTATCTTACAGCAACAACACCATGGTTTGAGACTTATCGGGAGAACTTCCTGCAGTCCATGCCAGCGTCAGAGCACGAGTTCCTCAACCACTACCTGGCCTGTATCCTTCCAGATTCTTTGCTAAAAACTCTACCTCATTTCTTTTTATGCTTGTGTTTTTCCTCTTTCTTTACCACGAGGGACGCATTGAAATGTGAACCATATATAACGTTCAGCTAAGACTGCTATAAAATGTCATGATGTATAGTTTCTATAGTAAATGATAAAAAAATGGCAATTATAAATTATAATCTGCACTGTCTATTGATGACAAAACTCTGCATTTATTTGATCAAAACTACAATAAAAATAATACTGTGAAGTATTATTACACATCACATCATTCCAATATGATTACTTTCCCCAAACTTTTGAATGGTAGTGAATCACGCTTACTAACAATAAGAAAAATCCAGACTTTTTTTTTTACCCAGTCTGGCCAGATTTTTTACTTAATTAGTTTAAAAAAAAAAGATGTACAGCACAGTATAGCACCCTTTGCTGTCAGTCTCAGTTTTGTTCACCTGTATTCTGCGAGATCTCCTGAACTCGGCTGCAGGTATGTTGGTGGTGTCGTCCTGTGAGGCGGTGCCGACAGAGCGGTTCCTCAAGCTGTCACAGGAACAGCACCGAATCCAGCACAGTGGGGAATACACTCATCCCAAATGGTTTATCCCCAACACTCTCAAATATTATGTCCTGCTTCATGATATCAGTGAGGGAGACGAGCAGAGGTGTGTGTGTGTGTGTGTCTTAAGTGTTCTCTTATACCTGTGTTGCTTGTTTCCTTAGTTATGCTTTCTTCTTTTGTTTTTTTCCCCAAACTTTTACACAGTCAAACAGTCACACATGCCACACATAATGGTAAAAGGGATAGTTCAACCAAAAATGTGAATGCTGTCATTATTTAATCAGCCTCATGTCATTCCAAACATGCAACATCGGTTTATAGTTATAAAGGTTGGTTCCAAAAAGAATGTAAAAGTACCATAAAAATAGTATTCTAAGTCATAATTTGAAGTCATTATTCACTCAAAATCTTCCCCTCCAGTGAGTTCATTTAAAAAAAAAAAAAAAATGGGGGGAGGAGTCACTAAAACCTTAACCACTAAGGTCTGGTTTTACAGACAGGGCTTAGTCTAAGACAGGATTAGGCCATAGTTCAATTAGGACATTTAAATAATTTTCCATAAACGTGCCTTAGAAAACACATTACTGGTGTGTGCATCTTGAGCCAAAACAAAGGCATTGATATATTTTAAGATCAGTCAGTGCAAGTTTCTTTCAGTTGACACAGCTCAGACTTACATTTTAGTCTGGGACTAGGTTTAAGCCTGGTCTGTGAAACCGGGGTAAAGACACTAAACCACTAAAAAAGAGAAACATTTTAAGACGTTTGTAAGAAGTGCAATGCTTTGAAAATGATTCCCTTTTTTTTTCTAACAAGAAAATTCTGGAAATGTAGCATTGCATCACTTGCTCACCAATGGATGCTCTGCTGTGAATGGGTGCCGTCAGAATGAGAGACCAAACAGTTGATAAAAACATCACAATGTTCCACAGTTCACAGTACTCCAGTCTGTCGATGACATCTTGTGAAGTAAAAAGCTGTGTGTTTGAAACAAATCCATAATTAAGACATTTTTTATTTTAAACCATTGCTTCTGGCTTCATGAGTTTTTTTTTATCCAGAAAATGTTTATGTGAGAGGACAACAGGGGATGGACTTGATAACTTTTTGTTCTTTAATTACTTTTATTTGTGTTTTTGTGTGCATTTGCATAGAGCTGCGTGTATGTGAGCATGCGTTCTCTCACGGTTCATCATTGTTACTTTCACTGGAAAATAATTATTAATTAAACCGCTTTTAGAATGTAGCTGATGTCTGGAATAAATGTCCAGCACAGGGGTGTCCAAACTCGGTCCTGGAGGGCCGGTGTCCTGAAGAGTTTAGCTCCAACCAGAGTTGATTAACACTGGAAACATGTATCCAACACTGCCTCAGGGATTAAAACTAAAATGATGTCAGGAGAAAACATTTCTGCTTCTCCTTTGTAATTGCATACATTTAATTAGAGAAAGTAGTATGAGTAGAATAAAAATGAATCTTAAAAGCAACATGAACTGCATTTGCAAAGCATTTTTCTATGAATATTAATTTTTGACGGCATCCACTTCTTCCTCAGAGAGTTGTCTGCATGTAGATAAATTGCCAATCACGGTAATCTTATGTTGCCTGCAGCCTCAAGGTCTGATGAATAGAAGATAAGCTGACTGTGGGGAGAAAGATTAGGCTGTCATATATATTTATGATGGTATAGAACAAGCATTGATGTCTGTCTCTTGTGTCTCTCAGGGCGGACTCTGTGTACGAGGATATGAAACAGCGGTATGGTACTCAGGGCTGCTATCTGCTCAAGATAAACTCCAGGAGTGGTAGCACTGGTGCGGATGAACAGATGCCGGACCCCTGGAGTCAGTACTTACACAAGACCAGCATACACAACCCTGTGAGTGCCACAACTTCACTTCAGACTCTGAACATACAACTACTAAACTTCTGATTATCGTCATAAGGTCTGGTCCACATAGCAGCTTTTTGTGGCCAAAAATTACGTTTTGATAACTAAAACCTTGCAAGTCCAGGGTGTAAATGTAATGCAGTATTTTATGTTTAATAAATACATTTATGGACCATGGTGGAACAAATCACAAATATTTTATTATAATATAAAAATAATGTTACACGTAATAATCTACATTTTTATAGTGTTCTTCCACTGTGGTCAATACAATTAAAGTTAATTTACCAAATATTATGAAATATTGTTCTCAAACTTTTGTCAGCTGAACACATTGAACCTAAAATATTTCCTTGAAGTATTAGTATGAGTTTTAATATTAAATATCATTTAATTGTTTGCATGTTCACGGTTCTCTGACGATGCTTAATGGTCACACGAAATGCAGGTAAACGCAGTTTCTATTTTAAACTTATTTTCATTTGACTTTTTTATGATAATTAGCTTTTTGTCAACTCGCAAAGATCACAATGTAAAACGTTTTTTTTTTTTGCAAAATTTCCTCGTTTTTTTTTTTCAGTTTTTATTTTCACAAAGTTATCACAAAACAACATTGAAATAATTGTTAACGTAAAAATAGTAACATCTAAGTTAGCTGGTTTTACTCAAGTACAAAATATTTAATACCGCTTTAATCGGCATAAATACATTAATGTATACCAACAAAACTAAATTCTATGGGTTAAGTCAGGTATAAAATAACTTTAAGGTAACAATTGCAGGTCATAATTTTTTACAGTGAATGTGAATTTGTAAAACTAAAATTACATTATTTACATCATTGTAGTTAGAGACTTACTTATGACATGAAAAAATAATCATTACTGAAATTATTTGCTTCGTCCAACATGTATTGGCCTTATGGAATTACTCTGTTGTATCACTGTTAGACTTCTCTGAATTTGGAAAATTGAATTGGATCAGTAAAATGAAATGTTCCTCATGCCTGGTGGTGTTTTATAGGAACTATATGAAGAATCTGCAGTGAGTAATGCGGTTGAAAACAACATCGGCGCAGAGGAAGGTGGTCTTGATCCCTCCATTAGAGGTTAGTCCAGCACAGTTGAACCCCATTATCAGGGATTTTGGTTATAAGCCTCATATTGTTGAGATTGATTGAATGATTGTCTAATGTCAATTAGATGTTCCTCTCGTGTTTGCAGACGGCGTCTCAGAGACTCATCCTCTGCAGCTGGACCAGCCCACTGATGCCGGTTACCCTAGCAACAACGCCAGTCAGTCTGTAAACAATGTGGATATGACGAGGCCTCAAAAACAGGCCAGCGTGACCTCTCACACCACCCCGACCCCTCGAGGAACCTGCCTGACCCTGAACGACCACGACCACATCCGGCAGTTTATCCAGGAGTTTACCTTCAGAGGATTACTGCCGCACATCGAGAAGAACATACGGCAGCTAAACGACCAGGTACATAAAGGCAAACCAACCATGTATTTCATCTAATTCATCTCAAGTCTCTGTATTGATTGACTCTGTCTTCGCTTTTCCTGGTAGCTGTGTATTTTATTTGTTGTGTATTTTGAGATAATGCCAAGTTTGGGGGCTGTAAGATTTTTAAAAGTTGAAAAAAAATTATTCTTAGCCAGGCTGCATTTATTTAATCAAAAATATACTAAAACAGTAATATTTTGAAATATTACAATTTAAAATAACTTTTTGCTATTTAAATATATTTTTGTGAATGCCATTTAATTTATTCATGTGATGCAAAGCTGAATCATTACTCCAGTCTTTAGTGTCACTTTTCTTATTATTATCAATGTTATAAACATTTGCTTAATATTTTTTGTGGGAACATTTTTTTCTGGATTCTTTGATAAATGGAAAGAACAGAACAGAGGAAAAAAATTTAACTTTTTTTTTTAACATTATCCCTACTGTCACTTTTGTTCAGTTTAATGTATACTTGCTGAATAAAAGTATTAATTTCTGAAGAATATTATTAAGTACTTTATATATTGCTTTTGGGGAAAGAAAAAAATATATAATAAAGAAATGAAATTAAATATATATTATGTATATGTCATATTTTAACAAAAAATATAAATTTATTTGTTGCTTTCCAGGTAGTGATATGTACTGATCTTTTCCATCTGTGCTGATATATAAATAAATAAACAGAATAAATATATAAATAAACAGAATGAAGAAATTAAAAATAAAAAGAAGCAACAGAGAAACTAAACCGATTCTGTAAAATCTTATACATTAAAATCACTCAGACTTTAATTTTTAATATTGGCCCCGATATCTTATTATTTTTTGTTTACCCCCTAACATGCATAACTTTATAATTCACTCTGTATAGTATTAGTTTATTCCTCCATTGTTTTGTTGTAGATTTATTTGCCGGTTTCCTATTTTTAATATGCATATCTTCACTGCATTCATACTAGGGATGCATCGAATATTCGGCAACCGAATAAGAGAAAAGACCGAATAAATTGAACCGAACAATGACGTGATGCAATCAAATAGAGGCGCGCACTAATGCAGCAAACATGTCAACAGTGTGGAAGCATTTAAAAGTGTCAGAGAAAGATGCAAAAATCATTACAAGCACCGACAGCGAGAGACTGTTTAGTACTGCATCACGTCATGTCTTCGATGAGAAGAGGAAGGGGTGATTGTTGCTGGTTACTGTATGACTGATGACTGAAATCGCGAAATGCCCAATTAAATAAACTGCAGAACGTTGTGTTTTCTAATACACGCACGAATTGCATGTATTCAAACAGTGCTGCATGAGCTCGCGCACCAGGGTTCAAAGTCAAAAGCGCGAGGGAAATCTGCTCTGAAATAGTGTTATCCGTCAGTTGCTCAGTAACATTTTTATGAATTTTTACAAGGCATGTGACAATGCGATACGTGCAACAAACGTCTTCCCAAATTCGTAATGAGACTCATTTATAAATCTGCTGTTGTCAACAAAATGAAGCACTGAGGTCTTCCTGCGGGTTTCTGCAAAAATAAAAGCCGAGAAAAAGCAAGAACTCCATCAACATTAATACATGTTATTATTGTAATTTTACTGTTGTTCTGTAAAATAAAATAAAGACAATAATAAGGATAATAATTGCAACAGCTCGATGAATACATTTATTATAGCATTCACACACAGTGTTCAGACTTTTCTAATGTTTTAAAAGAAGTCTCTTCTGCTCAGCAAGGCTGCATTTATTTGTACAGTAAAAAATGCATGCCTGATTCAAGAAGGGGGTCTCAAAAATGGCCCAAAAAATATTATTTTACTAACTTAGTTAAATTGTGTTTTATTGGTATAATGTCTGTCAGAATGTTAAAAAATATTCAGTGTTAAGTAAATATTTTGAAAGCATATTTTGGCTATTTAATTTATGCAATGGTGAAAAAAATTAGCAAAATGGGGAAAAAATTTGAAAAACGTGCTCAGTAACATTTTTATGAATTTTTACAAGGCATGTGACAATGCGATACGTGCAACAAACGTCTTCCCAAATTCGTAATGAGACTCATTTATAAATCTGCTGTTGTCAACAAAATGAAGCACTGAGGTCTTCCTGCGGGTTTCTGCAAAAATAAAAGCCGAGAAAAAGCAAGAACTCCATCAACATTAATACATGTTATTATTGTAATTTTACTGTTGTTCTGTAAAATAAAATAAAGACAATAATAAGGATAATAATTGCAACAGCTCGATGAATACATTTATTATAGCATTCACACACAGTGTTCAGACTTTTCTAATGTTTTAAAAGAAGTCTCTTCTGCTCAGCAAGGCTGCATTTATTTGTACAGTAAAAAATGCATGCCTGATTCAAGAAGGGGGTCTCAAAAATGGCTCAAAAAATATTATTTTACTAACTTAGTTAAATTGTGTTTTATTGGTATAATGTCTGTCAGAATGTTAAAAAATATTCAGTGTTAAGTAAATATTTTGAAAGCATATTTTGGCTATTTAATTTATGCAATGGTGAACAAAATTAGCAAAATGGGGAAAAAATTTGAAAAACGTTGAAGCGAAAAAAGGCTTCGGCCAAGAATTTTCATTTCGGTGCATCCCTAATTCATACATAATAAAGCAGTTTTCATATTTTCAAAATAAACCACACCTAATATGCTTAAATTACCCAAGAGTCGAGGGTCCATTAATATGAATTTCCTTAGCTTTTGACAGTAATGCAAATATATATATATGTATATATATATATATATGTATATATTTCTAAAACTTGTTCTGCATTTACTTCATCTTTATTTATCTCTCATTCTAGCTTGTCTCAAGAAAAGGTCTGAGCCGATCTCTTTTCTCTGCCACTAAGAAGTTGTTTGGTGGAGGGAAGGTCCCAGAGAAGAGTATTGCTGAACTAAAGAACACTGCAGGGCTGCTGTAAGTGACTTGAAGTACAAATAAAATAGTTGTTTTTGTTCTCATCTGACTCTTGACCCCTGTGAAATCAGCTATCCCTCAGAGGCCCCAGAGCTTCAGATCAGGAAGATGGCCGACCTCTGCTTCCTCGTTCAGCACTATGAGCTGGCCTACAACTGCTACCACACTGCCAAGAAGGACTTCCTCTCTGACCAGGCCATGCTGTATGCCGCTGGAGCACTGGTGAGACGCACACCACAGTCATAGTGCAGCTGCTGCTTGAGATTAGCTCCACAGATAGGCACTCTAGCTCTAGTTTCTGTGGGTTATCAGAGTAGTACTGTCTGAACTCGCCTCAGACTGACTGCCTGCTGTCTCTGTCTCTACAGGAGATGGCTGCTGTCGCTGCCTTTCTGCAGAGTGGGGCACCCAGGCCGTACCCAGCACACTACATGGACACGGCCATTCAGACCTACAGAGACGTGTGCAAGTAAGAACATGCATTCGCTTGCGTTTTCCTCCCACCCCCATTTATATAGTATTTGGTAACATATTATAATTGTTTTAGTATTTTAAATGTAAAATGTTAAAAAACTAAATTAAGTAAATCTAATGCTTTTAAAAATTAAGATGTAGTTTTAGTTCTTGCTTTATTTTGAGAATTGTAATTCATTAAGTAACTAACCATTTGAATTTTTGCTTCAGTGTTTCATACTGCATTTCAAAACTTAAGTTTAGTACTTTACTGTTTTTATTAGTATTTTAAATCAACGAATGAATAAATTAATACATAAAATTAGTTTTATTTTTTTATTTCTGTTTTAGCTTCATCAGTTTTTGTTTTAATGTATCTTTTTACATTTTATTTTATTTTTATTACTATTTATTTTAGTTCTTGGATATCATTTTATATGGCTTTTAAAAATTTGCTTCGTTTTATTAAATAAATAGGCTGGACATTTTTAGGCCGGACATTGCTTCATGTGCTTTTAGAAATAAATTTTTTGTTTTATTTTTTTTGTATTTTTTATTATAATTATTAATTAAATTTTTTATTTCATTTTATTTGATAAAATAAATGAATAAAAAGCATTTTTATTCTTGCCTTCTTTTTTTTATACTGGACATCACTTTGTGTGACTTTTAGAAATGTGTTCAGTATTTTAACATTTTGCTATTACATCAATCAATAAATCAATCAGTTGTCATTTTTAGGTCAGACATCAGTTTGTTGCTTATAGAAATTAGTTTTTTTTTTTACTAATAAATAAATTCGTACTGGACAATCCAACATCCAAAGTAAAAGTTTTTGTGTACATAATATATGTGTGTGTACTGTGTAAATTTATTATGTATATATAAATACATACAGGCATTTAAATATTTAAGAAAAATTTTATGTTTAGATATTAAATATATTTATATATAATATAAATTATATGAATATAAATATGCATGTAAATGTAAATATTCTCAAAATATATACTGTATGGGTGTGTCTTTATATATGCATAATAAATATACACAGTACACACATATATAAACAAAAACGTTTATTTTGGATGCAATTATTTTAGGGCTGTCAAAATTAATGTGTTAATAATGCATTAATGCAAAATAATTTTAACGGCACAATTTTTTATTAACGCAGCACTCATTTTCCGTTTGACCTGTGGCCTAGCCCGTAGTTGGAGAAATCGAGATGCACAGTGTTTCCAACTTAGATTTAGCGACTTTTCAGACTCCTTTAGTGAATTTATTTATTTTTTTCTAAAAAAGCACCTAGCGACAAATCTAGTGGCTTCTTGGACAAACCTTTTTAGTTTCTGAGACTCTCCAGTACTGCCGCACGGGGTCTTGCTTTCCCAGCATGCACACACCTCTTTAGCCCCGTTCACGCTGCCAGCGACTTTTTCGCTGTATGTCGCTAGACTCTGTGCTGTGAAGATGCTTGTGGGCGTTCCTACTGCTGTTGCTCGAATGTTATTGGTAGACTGCACGTCTGGACATATAAAATGCAATCACAAACTATATTTATATATTGCCGGTAAAACTAAGATATCATTTTAATATGACTAGGAATTAGACTTAAAAGAAATAAAAGTACCACTCTGCTGTTGGAGAGTGTTGTTATATAAACTACAGGTGCTCGTGCATTAGATCATTAACCGGTGCTAAACTGCTCACTGCATCATATAATTAACAACTCGAACCATCAATATATGAATCAAACGGTTTCTTTTCTACGCATCATGTTTGTTATATCCATGTATGTGGTTACAGTAAAATCATATAAAACAGTGAAATTGCTCAGGAAATCTGTCCTGTCTTGCGGCACCTGCACTCGAGACGGTGACGTGTGAGCTCCACTGACAGATTCTTCACTCCTATTGGTTGTCGCTAGCGAAATTTGCTGTTCATTTGCGTAAAGTTAAACAATTCTTAACTTTTGTCGCTTGACACGTCCACATTCTGTCGCCAACGGTCACTGTCGCTCGTGTCGCCGGAAGTCGCCAACTTTCCATTGAAAATGAATGGGAACATGTCGCTTTGTAGCTGGCAGTGTGAACGGGGCTTTTCTCTGCTTCTGCTCTGTTCAGCGAGGGGCAGAGAGGAGCAGCGCTTTCAAATAAAACAGATATTATGTCGCTTCTCTAATTTTACATGCAAGTATAGTAGGGATGCACCGATATGAAAATTTTGGCTGATACCGATAATTCTTTATTTTTGAAAGCCGATAACCGATATGTTGGCCGATAAATCTATATCCAAATTTTTATATACTTTTTGAGAGCCTGATTACAAAAAAGGTCTCGTCATTAAAAACCACAT